TACTACTACTACTAGTACTACAACAACTCCAACAACAACAACAACAACAACAACTACTACTACTACTACTACTACTGCTACTACTACTACTACTACCACTACCCCTACCCCTACCACTACCACTACCACTACCACTACCACTACCACTACCACTACCACTAACACTACCACTACTGCTACAACTACTGCTACTGCTACTGCTACTACTACTACTACTACTACTACTACTACTACTAATGTGTAGCAGTAGTGGTAGTCGCAGTAGAAGCAGGAGCAGCAGCAGTAGTTGTAGTACTAAGAAATGGACCAGTAGTACCGATTTTAGCACTAGTCCTAGTCCTGGTACCGAAAACAATCGTCGTCGCAGCTGCAGTTTCAGCAACGGTCTGAGTCATCGCCATCGTTCTCAAAGTCGCGTTGGCTCGGGCGTTGGCTCTTTTTGTTCACATAATGCGGGTTTTGCATCAGGCGCACCTTGTTGCCGCCGGTATCCAGGTAATTCGGCGCGCTGAACACACTCCTTGACAGATCATTTCGAGCCATTGCCCATGAGTCACAAAGCAGGAACTTGAGACGCCATGTTGACATCCCAGGTGTTCGGTTCAAGTCGAGCTCCTTGAATGGTGTCTGCGAGAGTCGTGGCTGACCAGGAACTTGCACTGGTCATCTTAACTCTGAAGTGCAGAATGCTTCGTGTTTCCGGCAGAAGTAGAAGCAAAAGGCAATGGGTGCGAAATCATCCAAGATAGCTTTCTCCATAAGCCGACTTCGGTGGAAACGACCCAAGCAGAAGACATGCAGCCAAGTTGCATCAACGACGGATGGTCCTGCGGAAGGCTGGGGCTTCATGGTCTGTTCAGCAGCGGCTGTACTAACTTTACAGATAGACACGATGATGAAGGCATACGGGCGGTCAGCTAGATAGGAGTCCTTTGTGCAGCCTTCAACCCTTCAACTGGCCCTGTAGTAATGAGCTGCCGAGCGGTCTGTCGAGACCTGGCCACAGTCGAAGAGTCATAAGCAGAGAGATGATGAGAGAAAGCAGGGCATGTGGACAGTCCTGAAGGTAGCCGTCTGCCTTGACCTGGCACCAACTGGGCTCACGGCAGACAGGCTTAAGTTTACATCGACAGCCCCGCGAACCCCGAACCCAACAGCGGGATGATAGGCCTCGTGCGAGCGGATCACGAGCTTAAGGTTGTTCTCCCGAACGAACTGATCCGACACCTGAGAGGATAAATCTAGCTTATGAGCCCTGGGTTTGGGGCAGTAGTGGCTTTGGATGAAAAAGACGCACGAACTGTGCAAAGAAGAACACGGCCATAAGCCAATACATGTGGGAGAAATCAACTCCTCTCCGAATCAGGAATGCTCCTCTTCGTGCTAAGAGAGCATAAAACTGCCAGCTTGTATTGCAAAAAGCAGAACGCACTGGTGTCCAACCCCACTGGTGAAAGTAGAAGCCATTCGGCACAACCGCGCTCAAGCGACTCTGGTGGATTTGCCCATTCTGCGTGCGAGCAGCATCCGGGCCGAACATGAAGACACCGCGGCTTTTGCGGTAGGAAGGGCCATAGCCAGAGCCGCCACGAGGGTCAGACCACCTTAGCAGTCGGTCCGCGGGTGAAAAGATGCACCATCGCATGCTGTTGCTGGGACGCTTGGCCGATACCGTCCGAGCCAGTAGCTTGTGTTCCATCCGCCAAAGTCGGTGGTTGAGAGTGGCCGGTCAAAGTTAGTGCACAGCTTGGTGGGAAGTTGGCGATTCCCAACATCTGCCAGCCCTATTCCCTGAAATTCTCAAACTAGCCTTCAGGCAGGGGCACCCTCTGCTACACGCCGAGCCACAGGAAGTCGATGATCATGCGGGTGTCCGTCTCCCACTTCTCTTCCTTCCTAGGGGCCTCATCGACGGCGTCCTGGCATTCACGGGGTATCTTTCTAGACGTGTTCTGCCTTCATATTTCACCATGATTCATACCAATGTCGAAACTTTCCTCCTTTATTCTTCTGCCTCCTGATATTCTTGCGTTCTTATTAACTATTTACTGATACTCATGTGTTCTCGAAATGTGCTTCTGTATCTTTTCATGTTTCTTCCTAACGTTGTCTGAATTATTGCCGACAGCAGTGATATTCTTCGCCTGTGGTGAGCAGATGGCTAGATAGCCATCTAGACAGATAGGTACGTAGGTAACAGACAGACAGATGAACAGATAGGGGCGACAGGGAGAGCGGGAGAGAGAGAGAGAGACAGCGAGAGAAAGAGAATGAGACAAACGGAGTCAGACAAAGAGAGAGAGAGAGAGAGCAAGTCAGTCGGCGTGCTGCTAAACTAAAGGCGCGTAGAACTGTTCCGCAATTCTGCCATGCCTTGTAGGAATTGGGGGTCAGCTCCGTGTAACCTTGGCCGGAAGCCCGAAATACAGAGCGTAAAGCGCAGAACTCTTGCCTGTCAAGACAAGAACGTCCGTGTGCTTCCCGCTAACAGTTCCACGGCGAAGTATAGAGATCCTCTCAAATCAACTAATGGCCACTAAGTGACCTATGCATGTAGTTGCGGTCGCCCTCATAATCCAAGACTGTTGGAAACCGTGGGTCATTCCAAAATACAGCCTAGACTAACGGCAGGGGTTTTGACCGTGACTCACTTGCTATGCAAGCAAGCAGGCTTCAGACTCACGGGAACATCTCATGGCAACTGTGAGGCATCATGAAGGAGGCTTACATCTTGACGTAGTCCCTGAAGCTCAGTCCACGATCGACTGCACACGAACTGCAAACTGCAGACTTTTTTGGCCATAAAGTTGAGATAGGATGGCACAGGTGTGCGATCAATGCTTCCACACAATCTGCTTCATTAATCTCGGGAAAAAAGCGCAGCATTTTGTGTGCTGCCGTGCTTGGTCACAGGGTTCATGACGTCTGTTCACAGCGAACCCGTGTGCACTGAAAACTGTTGCATAGCGCGGCACATAGTCGGGGAAAGTTGAGTTGCTTTTGTTGAGACATCCCATGCCTTTTCGACTTGAATCATCAGAAGCAGGGCTCATTGACGGCTACTACAAGCAGCAAGTACAAGCCCAGAATAGCAGTCTGCTGGCTTTCTGAACAGCAGTGCAAGACCTTCACAGAGGAGTGGCTGGGTGACGCCCGAGTCAGAAAAAGGAGTCGAAAACGGTAGAGACCAATTCAGAAAACCTAGGGGACCGAGTCAGAAAGTGGAGAGGCCTGAGTCGGAAAACGAGGGCTGCACGAGTCGGAGAGCAAGGCTAGCGAGTCAGAAAACAACACAGAGGCCTAAACCCTAAACCCTAAAACCTAAACCCTACCCTAAACCCCTAAACCCCTAAACCCTAAACCCTAAACCCTAACCCCGG